TACATTGTGGTAGCAATAGAACATTCCAAAGATCTGAGCACAATGAGAATTGAAGAGCTGCAGAGCAGTTTAGAAGCGCAAGAGTTGCGTTTGACTGAGAGAACTTCTGAAAGGGAAGTAGAGCAGCAGGCTCTGAAAGCAATTTCTGATAGGAGGTATCAGAAGCAGTCAGAAGCCAAGAGAAGATCTGATGGTGGTCAGAAGTCAGAAACCTCAACCTCTGATAGACAAAAGAATGCTCAGAAGGGAAAAGAGAAGTATGACAAGAAGAAGATCCAATGTTACTGTTGTAAGAAGTTTGGTCACTTTGCTAGAGATTGTTGGTCAAACAAGGAGAAGAAATCAGAAGAAGCAAATATAGCCAGAAGTTCTGATGACGAATCTGTGCTATTGATGGCCTCTGAATCTGATGATCTGACAGACTGGTGGTATATGGACACTGGCTGTTCAAATCATCTTACTGGAAACAAGAAATGGCTGGTTGACTTTGACTCTGAAAAGAGAACAAAGATCAGATGTGCTGATGACAAATATCTTAATGCAGAAGGTATGGGAAATGTCAGAGTGACTCTGAACAATGGGAAAATAGCATTGATTCAGAATGTGTGGTATGTACCTGGCATCAGAAGCAATCTAATGAGTGTGGGACAATTAATTGAGAAAGGTTTCTCAGTTACCATGAAGGACAATCTTCTGAAGCTGTATGACTGTAATCAGAAGTTGATTATGGAGTCAGAACAGGGAAGGAATAGAACATTCAAGGTGAATGTCAGAACTGCAGACTCAGAGTGTCTTAGTGCAACAAGTACTGAGAAGGAGAGTGAGCTGTGGCACAGAAGATTTGGTCATTTGAATTTCAGAAGCTTACAACATCTGAATTCAAAGAAATTGGTACATGGAATTCCTGCAATTAAGAAGCCTGAAAAGTCATGCAAAGTTTGCATGGAAGGAAAACAACCAAGATTGCCATTTGCATCAGAAGTTGCTCCAAGAGCAAAACATGCCTTGGGAGTTGTACACTCTGATGTGTGTGGTCCATTTCCAGTAGCATCAATTGGAGGGAATAAATACTTTGTGTTGTTTGTTGATGAATTCACAAGAATGACATGGGTATCCCTTATTAAGTTCAAACACGAGGTGTTTGATGAATTCAAGAAGTTCAGAATGAAGGCTGAGAATCAGAGTGGTCAGAAGTTGAAGATTCTTAGAACTGATGGTGGAGGTGAGTATAACTCCAAAGAGTTCCAGAAGTTCTGTGAGGAGAATGGAATTGAGCATGAGGTTACTGCTCCTTATACCCCTCAACACAATGGTCTTGCTGAAAGAAGAAACCGTACTTTGCTTGATATGGTGAGAAACATGCTAAAGGAGAAGAAGCTTCCTCAGAAGCTCTGGGGAGAAGCTGTTGCCACTGCAACGTATGTACTAAACAGATAGTCCTACGAAGAAGTTGAAGGAAATAGTTCCTATGCAGAAGTGGACTGGAGACAAGCAAAGTGTTAGTCATCTGAAGGTATTTGGTTCTGTTTGCTATAAACATGTTCCAGAAGGCAGAAGACAGAAGCTGGATGATAGAAGCAAAGTGATGATTCTGATAGGGTACCACAGTACAGGTGCATACAAGCTCTATTGTCCAGAAACCAATAAAATTGAATTCAGCAGAGATGTGATTGTGAAGGAATCAGAAGTTTGGAATTGGGATAAGTCTCAATCTGATTCTGATGTTAGAACTTCTGAAGAAAGGTCAGAGTTAAGAACTTCTGAAGTTGAAGTAAACTCTGAAGTTGATTCTGACTCTGATACTGATTCAAACTCTGAAGAAGACTCAGAAGATGAAGGTGACCCAGATGACCCAGACTCTGATGATTCAGACTCTGATGGCAATCCAGATCTTGGTGGCAATTCAGACTCTGGAAATATGCCAGACTCTGAAGATGGTCAAAGCTCTGGAGGTCAATCATCTGAAGCTAGAAACTCTGAAGCTCAAGACTCTGAACAAGTTCAGAGACCACAAAGAATCAGAAGCGTTCCCAGAAGATTTGCAGAATTTGACATGCTGCAAGACACTGAAGTAGACTCTGAAGGAGAAGTTATTCTGTGTGCCATGTTAGTAGACTCTGAACCTATAAGTACAGAGGAGGCTCTTAAGCAGAATCTTTGGCTGAAGGCCATGAAAGAAGAACTTGATGCTATAGAGAGAAACAAAACTTGGAAGCTGACAGAACTTCCAAAAGACAAGAAAGCCATCAGCGTCAGATGGGTTTTCAAGCAGAAGTTAAAGCCAGATGGTTCAATTGGCAAACATAAGGCAAGGTTGGTAGCAAGAGGATTTCTACAGAAACCTGGGCTGGATTATTCTGAAGTGTTTGCACCTGTAGCAAGACATGAAACAATCAGAATGGTGATTGCAATAGCTGCTAACAGGAATTGGCCTCTGATGCATTTAGATGTAAAATCTGCATTTCTGAATGGTCCATTAGAAGAAGAAGTTTACGTGTCACAACCTCCTGGATTTGTGAAAAAGAATCAGGAAGGGATGGTGTACAGATTATACAAAGCTCTATATGGATTGAAACAAGCGCCCAGAGCTTGGAATCAGAAGATTGATTCATTTTTCAAGTAGCAAGGCTTTCAGAAATGTGAGATGGAGTACGGTGTCTATGTTCAGCATACTTCTGAAGGCAATATGACTCTGGTATGTTTATATGTTGATGATATACTATTGACTGGAAGTTCTGAACAGGAGATAGCCAAGTTCAAGAAGGTTCTAATGAATGAATTTGAAATGACTGATCTAGGCAAAATGACATACTTTCTAGGGATGGAGTTCAGATATTCTGAGAAAGGTATCATTTTGCATCAGCTCAAGTATGAATTAGAACTTCTGAAGAGATTTGATCTGAAGAATTGTAAGATGGCTGTCACACCTTCTGATACAAATCAGAAACTGGATTCAGACTCTGAAGGAAAGGATGTGGACGCTACAACCTTCAAACAGTTGGTTGGTTCTCTGAGGTATCTGTGCAATACCAGACCTGATATTTGCTACTCAGTTGGGATGGTTAGTAGGTTCATGAGTAAACCTAAGTGGTCCCATTACCAAGCTGCTGTCAGGATTCTGAGGTATATCAAAGGAACTCTGAAGTATGGAGTGTTATTTCCCTCTGGAGGAAATAATGAGTCAGAACTTCTGAGTTATTCAGACTCTGATTGGTGTGGAGACAGAGTTGACAGAAGAAGTACATCTGGGTACTTGTTCAAATTTCTGGGAGGTCCCATTTCTTGGTGTTCCAAGAAGCAACCTGTTGTGGCGTTGTCAACCTGTGAAGCTGAATACATTGCAGGTGCTGTTACTGCATGCCAAGCTGTGTGGATTCTGAATCTGTTGCAGGATCTGAAGATTAAAGTAGACAAACCTCTGAAGTTGATGATTGACAATAAGTCTGCAATCAATCTTGCCAGAAACCCAGTGTTGCATGGGAGAAGCAAGCATATTGAGACCAAGTATCATTTTCTGAGACATCAAGTTCAGAGTGGAGTGTTAGAAGTTGTACACTGCAGCACTCAGAAGCAGTTGGCAGATGTTCTGACGAAAGCTATCAAGACTGATCAATTTCTCAGATTAAGGGATGGAATTGGTGTTACAAGTTTTGATGGAATATGAATTAAGGGATGGTATTAGTAATAATTCATATTTTATTATATTATTTTCTTAAGCCCATAAGTTTGTTAGAGGGTATTTTAGTATTTTATCTTATTCTAGTAACCCTAGTTTTAGCTTATAAATAGGGTGACAATCATTGTAACTCTTAATCCTGTTTTCTTCTGCCGTCATTCTCTTTAATAGAATATTTCCCTATTTTCATTATTCTATCTTTGCACCAACACTAGTTAGTTGGTCATTTATAACTAATTAACATTGTGTTAGTTTAAATACTATATATATATATATATATATATATATATATATATATATATATATATATATATATATATATATATATATATATATATATAAAATAAGAATTATTTGTAAAACCATTGCATCATCAAAACGCAATCTATTCAATATTCACTGCATTTCTAATATTATTTGTAAAAGTTATATATACAAGTGGTTATTTATAATTTTTATTGTCACCTTCATAAGAATTATTTACTTTGAGAATAATAATATATTGTCACCTTCATAAGAATTATTTACTTTGAGAATAATAATATAGCAACACGAAAGTTACTTTATTCCTGATAATACTTTATACTGGAAAATTATTTTTCGAACTTTGAAAGAAACATCAAGGATTCTTCTTTCCACCATCCTTATGGGTGAAAAGCCATCCTAATGAAACTCAAAATTCTTCTCATCCATAGTGGTGAAGAGCCATTTAATGAAACCTGAAATTGACCTTCAAGACATTTATTATCTCTTGCAAAAGGGAGAGGAAACTCTTCTACATAAGTATCTTTCCGGATTTATTCCGGAATTTTTTTAACAAAATAAAAATGGCTCAAGAACAAAATACTTTGGTGCAATACATCCAAAAGTGTGTTTTCAAATTTTAGAAGCATTATTGACTTTTCACCCTTCACCCGTAATGCATGAGCACCACTATGCGTGCAATAAACAATCCCCAAGAATTATTTTTGTAACTACTATATGCCCAGAAATAAATTTTAGTACCATGACACAAACATCTTTTCCCTTAGAACTTGGTTTTAAAAATAAAAAAAGAAGAAAAACCCCTTTACATTCATGACTTGCGACTTACTTGACCAATTTCAATCTTCTGAACAAAGAAAATGATATGAGAACCATGGCATAAGCTTAAAAAGCAAAATGGTTTCAATAATTTGTGGAGTAACAAAAATCATAGGCTGCATTATTGATCAACACCGTGAAAAGGTGAAGATACTCAAATGTATTTAACAAAACAAACCAACAAAATGTTTTAAAAAATCTCACTTCTCAGAAGTCAGAAAGGTATCAAACGCACATGCTTTCAAAGAGGACCGGGGAAAGTTCCATTGTCCCTCTGTTCATTCCACTTCTCAACCTACAATAATTTGCATCAAAAAAGAAAGATCACAACCAATTCATCTAATTCAAATCATGAAGATTAATTTCAAGCAACTATGGCTCTTGGAACAAGTTAACTTTGTTGAGGATAAATTACTATATAAGACAAAGCTGCATTAGTCATGGAGAAAATAAGTAAATGTGCTTCGGGAAAAGGACCAGGGGAGCGAGGAATGCAAACTAGAAAAAGGGAAAATTTACATACAGACAAAACAAAATGCATAAACACACAAAAGCTCAAACATTTGAAGATAGGATGCGAAAGTGTGAATCGTGCAATGGACATTCAGTCAAGACCGTCTTTGAGGGTGTGCAAGGCATATTACTGCACATAGCTCAAAATTTGTCAATGTTAAACTGTGATTAAATAAGGCCTCATAAAATGTTTGCCGTGCTAAATAGTCTCTTTTTGTTTTCTCACAGTTAGGCTATATGACTAATCTACACGAAGCCTCAAAAATGAAGACTATCTTGTAAAAACATAGATAGATAACTTCATTGACTAGTGATACGTAAAGTAAGGGTAACCCACATGCAGAAAAATTAGAGAATCAAACTGGGACTTCATTGGTTCGTTTTGTAACAACAAAAAATTCTAGTTCCTAAATGTTTAATATTAACTGATGGAAAGGACTAATTCTCATGCATGGTTGAACACCACAAATCGCATTAAGTTTTGCTATGACATCAATCTTTACATTAAAGTAAATTTGAGGTCAGTCCCAACCAAATAAATCAACGTTAAGATGCTTGCATATAAAAAAAGCTAAGAGGAGCTTACCCATTCACCGGGGCAAAGAGAACGGTAATATTTGGCAAATTTCTCACATTCGCCTGAGTTATCACCTTTTACTGTAATGCACCTGTAATTAAAGTCAGGCGTAAATTAAAAACATGATTAAAGAACAATTTTTGCTGAATCATATATCCAGAGTCAGGAAATCCACCTATGAAACTCTATGTAGCGAGTGAAACAGTGTCGGGTTTGATTGGTTGTAGGAAAACGAAAATCAACAGGTGCTGTTTTTAGCTCAATCTACAAGGAAGAAACACAACATTAAGTCAGGACAACGACAACCGGACAAGATAGAATGATATCTGCTACATTAAAATTAAAACTCAAATGAGATCAAATGTGTCATAGCAGAAAGCCAGAGAGTGATATTGTATAATACCATATAGTTTTAAGTAATGAAGATAAGCATGTCTTAAATATATGATCCATCTGAATGAATAAAATGAAAACAAAGACAAAACACACATCTTGGTTCAAATCCATATGTAAGTTATGTTATAGGGGGATTGGTGCTTTCATTTGCAGCAAAACTAAAACCAACTTTAGAAGATTAACTTAAAACACCGTGATCAAATACCAAAAAGTGCAGCCAAACTGCTACATGCCATTTTTTGTCATAAGTAACATACTAGCAATATATTCAATATGGAGTCAACAACAACAACCGAGTCTTATCCTATTAACTCATTAAGTGGGATCGACTACATCGGCTACATAGATCAACTTCTACCATAATATTTTATCCATGACAATGTTTCTACCAAATAGTTAATCTCGATATCTTTTTTAATAACTTCTCTTATAGTTTGTTAGGTCTTCTTCTACCTCTAACCGCTCCTACTTGATATGGAGTCAAAATAAAAATAAAAATAAAAAAATAAAAATCCAGAGGTAGCTATGGCCATGGTTGTGAGTCTACGTAGACTCGTGAAGGGTCCGTTGACTCAATTCATGGACTCTAAGAGTCAATAGAAATAAAAATGACTCAAAAACCACACATACAAAATAGAACATCAATCAAAATAAAATTCCAATTTCAAACCGTGACAAAACAAATGTAACAAGCTATAACAAAACAAAGGGTCACATTGTTTCAAAAAACAGAGCAACAAAAAACAGTAAAAATAACAATGCCATTTTGGAGAATGATGATAACACAAACAATAAGCACTCACTCGAGACAAAATAAAACAAGAATGAAACAAAAACAGAGAAGGCATAAAAAACAGCGCATAAAATGATAACAAAATGAATAAAGCAAGAAAATGAAGTGTCTGTTAAGAAATGTGGTTGAGCCTAACTCAACCCTACAAAACCGGTTGGTAGAGTGAGGATTGCTCCCACTTATAAACACATGTTCATGCCATATATTGTCCGATGTGGGACTCTTAACACACCCCCTCACGCTCAAGACTGGACAACTGAAGCGTGGAAATAAATGGTGGGTGGCCCGGCCCGCCGGATCTTAAACGAGGCTCTGATACCATGTTAAGAAATGTGGTTGAGCCTAACTCAACCCTACAAAACCGGTTGGTAGAGTGAGGATTGCTCCCACTTATAAACACATGTTCATGCCATATATTGTCCGATGTGGGACTCTTAACAGTGTCTATCAATGTCTAAGCGAGTCTATCACGAGAGAGAGTCTATAAGAGAAAGTGAACTCGTTTTGGATTCCTAGACACGTAAACTCGTTTAAACCTACAAGTTGACTCGCAAGTTTGACAATCAGAGTTGTGACATACCACCGGTACACCATAAACGAGTATGGCTATTAATTTAGACCTTCTGGTTATGATTAAATTGAGCAGCAAACATATTAACAAAAACTATAGTTAAAAATTGTTCCATCTCCTTTCACTTTATGGGATGTTCAAATTAAGTTGTTCAAATAGGGTCCTTCCTTATAGTTTTAAAATTTGGATCGCTGCGACTCTACAAGCATCAATTATAGGGATGCAATTAAAATTTATCAAAAACTATAGACATTTTAATAGTTTTAAATATCCAAACTGCATATGTATACCAGTGCTCCGGCGGTAGGTAGGGATGATGTAAGGTTTTTATAGCTAAATGAAACTATTAACTCAATAACTATTTTAAAATACAAAATGCAATTCTTTTGTCTCAATTATAAGCCCACAAAAAACAACTAATCATACGCTAAATGTTTTGAGTCGGCCAAAGATCCAATAAGAGAAAGACTAAGTCATAAATCAAAGATCATTCCGCCAGAATGAGGGATGTATAGTTCAACCATATTGAAGTGTCTAAAATCTGATCCATATCTCTTATCACAGTTGGATATCATCTAAGGTCTCCCGCATTCTAAACCGTGAAGCGACACCTTAACCGACTTTAATATATATAAGGTGCCCCACGTGAAGAAAAAAGTACGATTCTAACCATAACTTACTCTATAACTGACTTGGACGTTGAAGTACTAGCGCTAACCTTTACAGGTCCACCCTACGCACACGGCAGTAATGAGAGTTTGTTCCGCCTTTCCAAGTCTTCACCTCATCAATCATTTTTGGTTCCCAATCGGAATACTAAACAAAAACTTCAGATAAACACAATTATTTTTCATCATCTCATAAAAAAAAACAAGTGGATTCTCAAAAGTACCCTTCATGGGATTTTGAAAATAAGCGATTAAAAACAATCCAAAAAGTACAAAGGAATTTAAGATTAGTTTAACCTAAAATCAGCGATTATAAACAATCTCAACCTCTCGTCTATACTCTTAATTCATCAAAACAACATTGAAGAATTAAACGAAAATCAGCAAACACCATAATTTAAAATCTAAAAACACGAAATGCTGCTCTATTCACGTAAAGAATTTAAAAACAAACATGCAAATCCACAATCTTACGGAAAAATACCTAACGGCAACGAAATGATTCAATAGATCAGCGAGAGAATACACAATTTTTAACATATGAATATGCATAATCTCAAAAGATAATGAATCAGAATTTGTTAAAAGCTAAAAAAGAAAAGAAAATTGCAAAAGGAAAAAGCCAGAATCGGAGAAAATGGGAGCGTACCTCGGCCATGATGAGTGAGAAAGACTCGATAAACAAATCGATGAAGAAATGAAAGAAAAATAAAAGAAAGCGCTAACATATACTAATAATTAATAGGTTACTTATAATTGAATAACTAATAAATAAATAATAGAGTAGTAACATGGGCTTAAGGAAAGCCCAATTATGATTAATCTATCATGTTTTTGTAGTATTACTTTTTTTTTCACCCTATGTATTTCTACCGTATCATCTAAAATTTTAAAAATGTTCTCTGATTTTAGAAGTAAACGTTTAAGTATTTCGGAGATATATCTCCAAAACATTTTGGAGGTTAATATTGCGCTAGACTCTTATCCTCCTTCACTTTTTATTTTCCTTCAAATACAACTCTTTAACTCTTTTCATTCTCAATATTCTTCAACTTCATCAAATCAGATTTCATCAATAGGAGGCTCAAGGAAATAACAAACATCATTCATTTCATCATTCAACAACATCTAAATCATAAATTTTAGGTATTTTTTTTCAAGTTTTCAGTAAATATTTGAGTTATAGTGTAAACGAGTAAGAATAAATTGTTAGGGGTAGAAATGTCTGGAAATCATATGTAAAATGTATGCATTGTTTGTTGGCTTAAATGGACGATCAGATGTTTATTTTTCACAATGCAAGTAGCAGAAGACGTCACTGTCGCGACCTCTGAGTTGCAAAATATTTTGGAAATACATCTCCGAAATTGTTCAGTGTATGGGATATTTCGAAGATGATTCTCCGGAAGTATTCAAAGTAAAAAAATTTAAGGTGTTTCCACCGAAATATCTTGCAGATTGTTTTTTTCTTGTTTGTTTGTGTTGTTTGCACTAATGATACGGCGTAATTTACCTTACAGGTATTATGGCTGACAGAGTCGACAGACTGAGACATGATCAGGTTGTCCAACACGCATTCGTTCGTTAATTTCAGGGGCGCAGTCTACTCCTGAGGCTCGACCTTCACCTCAGGCCACTTCACATCCATCTTAGGTCACTTCATCTTCTTCTTCTTTCCGTAGTGAACGGGATTCACCAACTGACGCGTCACTTCCACCATCCACCCGCAGGCATCAAGATACACTAGTGCCACCTCCTACTGATCTGGTGCCACCTCCCACAGATGATCCTACTAATCTAGTTCCATCGCTAAAGGGTGAGGTTGTTGAGGATGCCGAGCTAGAGGAATTCGGAGGAGGTCCATCTGATATGTTCTTACTTCCTCTGTATCCAGACCACACAACCAGATATATATCTGGGACAGAGAAGTAGCATTAGTATAATTTTTGATTTATTCTTTACATTAATTTAAATTGATGGCATTGATTATTTATAACATTGATTATTTCTGGATAATCGCATGTGCGTGATCTCCAGACGTTTATTAACCATAGGAGGAAGATTGATGGCTTGCCTCAGCCGGATGAGGAATGGTTTCAGTCGATTCTGACCTTGTATGGGTTGAGTGACTTATGCATGATCGGTTGCACTCTGGTCAACCACGGGATGCTTAATGCATTCATAAAGAGATGACATTCTGAGATGTCTTCTTTTCATCTTCCGCATGATGAGATGTCTATCACATTGAATGATGTCTCATGTATGTTGCATCTTCTAATCAAGGGATATTCCTCGATTATGGTAGGATGATCAAAGGCGAGGCAGTCGAGATGATGGTGGAGCATTTGAAGGTTGATCCATGGAAGGCGGATGAGGAGGTGGATAAGACCAGAAGTGCTCATGCTAGGTTTGAGTTCCTAAAGGAGATATATGATGATGAAATCGTTGTTGTAGAGGTGGTTGATGGTGATCCTAAGCAGGTGGTGGCACACAGGGCACATGCTTTGAGGGCATATTTCTTTTTTTGGTTGACACTTTCATTTTTGTGGACACAAGTGCCACCTATACTGACGTTGCATACCTTGGGTACTTCTTGGATCTCACTCAGATCCATGAGTACAACTGAGGGGACCTTCCCTGGCCTATCTGTATTCTAAGTTGAGAGATGAATGTCGGTGGAGGACGAAACAAGTCACGAACAGTACGACACTAATGGTGGTAATAATTTTTTATCCCCGAATGTTATTTTATCTTATCTTTTTCATTTCATATTTGCGAAACCATTTCCGATAATTCTTGATCCCTGAATTATTTTTATTTTTATTTTCATTTCAGGCTTGGATCCTCTAGCACTTCCCACGCATTGTCAGTTGGGCGAGTGTGGATGACTGACCCCGTACTTGTGCTTTTATCCCGCTGAGAGGGAACCATGTGGTCGAGCCTTTCAGAGTCTATCTTGACTGTTTGGTTGCTGAGGACATCCATTTCAATAGTTACGTGGATCATCATCAGGCGCAACTATTTGACGATATATCTCTATACTCAAGATGGATAGCCTGCAGATCACATATCACTGCTTCTCATCTGCCCGAGTGCGTCAAGCGACAGTTCGGGTATACCCAGATCATCCCTAGACACCCTGATGTATATGTTCCTCCTGCCTTATCTCGTAGACAAATAGTGGAGATGTTTGTTAATTATCAGAGTCACTTGGTACCAGAGAAGGCTCGGGCTACCATAACGCCGAATGACGGGAGCTACATTAACGGATACATCAGGTGGTTCTTCAGGGTCTCACATCCGTACATGGTACTAACTGCTCGAAGAGATCCATCGAGACCAAGTCATCAGGAGATTCTAAAGGAGCAATAGAATCAGCTTAATCATACTGAGGATGTCTTGCCTCATTGTCATCGCATAGTGGAGATTGTGCGGGCAGACATTAATGAGGGTATCTTCCTTGAGGAGTCTACTGTCAGGGGAGTCTTGGATGCCATTGTGGCAAAGGCACATAGGGCACTGTTGTACCGTAGACATCGCCAGAGGGAGGTGATGGCCGATGAGGCAAATGAGGTATAAGAGGGGTTATCAGACACATTCAGTAGTTGTCTGTTATTATTTTGATGTTGTGTTATAGTTTGTACTTTACTTCTAAAAACTCAGCTGAGTGCATTTTTTAACCTATTTAAACAACATTATTTCGGATATGCATCTCTGAAATCTTACATTCATGCATCTTGAGCAGAAACGTTGTCCTAAGTTTGTACTTTTTTAAATCAAAAGTCATTTTAATCTGATTAATAGTGTCATAATTTGATTCAAACATCAATAAACATGAACATCCATAGAACAAGGTAATGCATTAATAAAAAAGACATCCTATAATATTACAAACATTGTTGTCCAAGTATGAAAAATAAAACTAAAACATCCCAAAATACAAAAAAAGAAGCATAAACTACTACGTATGCCTAATCTTAACCCCTGGCTCCTCTTAAGCCGCCGATAACCCAAGGCATTCCCTGATTCGGTAAGAATGGTATGTGTGAGAACCGCATCATCTTCACCTCTCTCAAACTACCCAGACTATATGCCCTAATACGTAATCTGCATAATATTTTGATAGATCGACAACACATCAGTGACATGGTCATCCCTGACCTGCTCATTCTCCAGGATCTCCTCATGAGCAGGTCTATGTTGACGTCCAGTATCATATGGTATCATGACAAGGTGTGACACACTATAAAACCAAGTCATATAATGTAACTCGTCCACATAAGACCAGATAGATATGGTTGACATACTCCAATACTCCTTTGGTACCAAATGACTATTGTAATCTGCCAGTATGTCATTAAGATGTTTGTGGATGATGTTGTTAAAAGCAGACTCGAAGGGGATCTCATAATACTCTGCACATATCCAAATTGATACATGCATCACTTTGGAAAATACATGTACACCATATTCCTCCCACATGCCAGCCATCTGGAGTAAAATGAAATGAGGTAGAAGGCAATAGTGTCTCAGTGAGTGGTGTATGATGTCCACTCGATGTCATCATGTTGAGTCTGGTTAATATACACACAGAACGGTCACACAACATCAATCCCTTAACGCGGGTAATACATGTAAGCACGTGGTCAATCCTCAGTATAGTCTACCACAAGATCAAAATCGTGTATGTGGTGAAAGTGAGATATAATCTATCCTTGAAAATGAATAAGAAAAAAATATTAGTAACAAGTGTAAAAAAATGCTTTTAAAATTAATAGTGATTATGGAAATTACTGTCATCAGGGTGCAGAAGCATGTCATTTGCTTTGTCTCCCAAAGAGAACCTTCGCTCATATTGGAGTACATGTATACTAAACAGGCAACCCCCTAGTTCTACTTGTGAATGGCCAACAAGTCAATGAAGTATTTAAGGTATGCCACATTGACGTAAGTTGTACTTTTGTTCACAAGCATGGACATGATAACCAAGAATATGAGGAAATGCCTCAAAGCACACTTCCGGTGGTAGGTAACATGTAGATCGTCGACAACAACATTTTTGGCCAACTCCAAGTTTTCTCCATAAAGCTTCTTCAAGTATGAAAAGGTGGCATGAGCCCCTCTAGTACTCTCACACTACATCAGGGCATCCATCAGGTCAACTCCCAAATAAATAATCATCATCTTTTGAGCTTCATCGCATTTGTTCTTGGATAAGGGTCTTCAAGTGGAAAGTCAGCATCATGTGGAACAGGAACTTCTTCCCGGTCTACATAAGCAGGAAAGATGTGTCATTGGGATGAGGACCCTTATGACAGAAAATTCCTAGAAGTCGATGGTTCCTCGTCAAGAGGCCTAGGAACGATTCCCAGCCTAGCTCTGACCTATTTATTATGATGTTTGACCCTCTCATGTCGAATGGACGCGTGTTGGGTTTCACGATCGACTCTCATTCTATCGTCGTTGTTTGCAACTATTTTTTTTAAATACAAGAAAATGACATCAGTTTGCATCTAGGGCATTTTCGGATATGCATCTCCGAAAACCAGCAAGGATACAATTCGAAGATGCATTTCCGAAAAAGTTCGTGTTTGCGACAATGGCATAAACGAATACGAGTCTTGCCATGACAATCCAAATTGAAACCAAATCAAAGTGCATGTTTCTAACAGCTACCTATTTCGAATGTGACTACTACTTAATGCATTTAAAACTAACTATTTTACCTAATACATTAATAAAATAAAAAGTTAAATGAAAAACTTATTCAAAAAAGTGTTCACGAGGATTAAAATGTTGAATATAATAAGTGGAGTGAGTTGAGATTGAAAATATTGAAGTAGGGGTATTAATATTCCTTGAAAGATTGATTGAAAGAATGTTGCTCACGAGCTCTAATAGGAATATCTCAAAAGTTGAATGTAAAATGAATAAAAAGAAAAATTAGGGTATGTTCGCGCGTTATATATAAATTAAACATGTTCGGAGACGCATATTTGAAAAAACTAATGAATTAGAAGATAAAGAAAAAGTTAATTCGACGATACATTTGCAAACAAACTCTAAAAATACATACGAAGATGCATCTTTGATTTAAATTTTAGCAAAGTAAAAAAAATTCAATTATTTACATTTATTTTATGTAAAAACGGTGCGTCTAGAGATATATTCTTGAAAATTATAGACATGTTTTACTTTTCGTCCAAAAATTTGAAAAAACAGAAAAAAAGAAAATTTTCAACTTTTCGTCCAAAAGATTTGGAAAAACAGAAAAAAGAAAATTTTCAACTTCATTATCATGTATAAATAGTTGGTAGTTTTATCCAAATAAATCATTTCATTTATATTGGTTTTAAAATATACAATTTGCCATTTCATTAAAAAAGACAAGACTTTAATAATGACAATATATTTTTCATAACTATAAATTCACCCGTATGTCATTAAGAAAGGTAATAGTTTCCAATGCACCTAGGTCCCAATGCTTGCGGCTTTTAACGAGAACGACGTGAATAATTGCATTAGAAAATGCACAAATAGTTAGTTTTATATATTTTATTTTATTTTTATTTTAATAATTCTTTTGCTTTTAAATTATGATAATTTAAATTTTTTACATACAAATATTTAAATTCAATTATTTTAAAGTTTTAAAAAAGTAAATATTAATAAAAGCGATTAATTACTACTATATACTATTAATATAAAATTTACAGTCTGACGTAATAGAATATATGAAAGTGATTGATGGACAGTAATAGAATATATAAAAGTGATTGATGGACAGTGTAATATAATTAAACAGTATAAAATAATTTCACCCTGTATACCAATTAAATTTTTATGTCAAGATATTGGAGTTTAATAAATCTCACAAATATAGGTTGGATTGTCTCATTGAAGATGCTCTAAGTTATGTTTTGTCATTGCTTGAATTAATATCACTGAGCGTACTGTATACATTACACGTTAGTTATAAAGGCATCTATCTACAATTGCTGAATGGAAAATTTAACTAGAGTTGGCAAAAAGATTTAACAGTATTAAATCGAAAACAGATCCTAAACATGTTTCATAAGAAAATTGAGTCCTCTAGGTTTAAAACTTGAATAAAAAACAAAAGCATATTTTGCTCCCTGCTACATGGATATGCTTGCAAGTCTTGCAACTTTACCTACCGTAAGTTGTTTGCGAGACATATCTCTGGTTCCTTCATTTGCAGTTCAATTCAACAATTCCCAAAACTGCATTATGTTTTAAGGAAATGAGCAATCAATAAAGCCACCCAATCTGAGATTTACACAGGAAATGATCAAATTGACCCGCTCAACCAGCATCATTAAACTTCACCTCCCAGCAATTGAGGGATCATATTGATCCGCCCAACCAGCATCATTAAACTTCACCTCCCAGCAATTGAGGGATCATATTGACCCGCCCAACCGGCACCGCTACCATCAGCACTATTTACAACTGCTACTCCATTGCTGCCGCCAACCGGTACCATAGACTCTCCTATTTGGCCAAAAGCCATCTGACCATGAGCTCTCCCATAATGATCGAGAAAGGGACCACTGCCATCTGCTGGGGTAGCAGCTCCGTACATATTTGATGCTGTTTGCGTAGTATGAAACCATCAGAAACATATGTATAGAAATATCATATGAAGAGACACTAACATACTGATTGCAGAGACTTACCATTTGTTCTTTTCTCAGCATTCAAAATCTCAGACCGTAACATCTCAACTTCTCTTGCCATCGCTATTAGTTTCTTCTCTTTTGCTTTCAATTGATCTACTAGCTCTACATTTTTGCTCTTTTCGTAGTCGAATGTGTCACTATTAACCGAGAAGATTTGAACATTTACAAGATTAGTTAACCTTAAAAGAGATGAAAATTCAAGGCAACAAACGTTAACAAATAAAGTATGCAACATGATGCGAAAGACGAACAAATTATTCAAATATTTCATGCATATAATGGTACTCATGGATAACAAAACTGACTTAAAGCACAAATTGATAGATATTATAAACAATTTCATCGACCCCTTATATGATTCAAGAGCCCTTCATACAAGTTTTGATTGGATTTTTCACTCCATCCCACAATGGTTTCACAATAGGAGACTCAAACAATTATGATATCCATTACCCATAATATCCACTTCAAAGATAACATGCCATCAGTGTTACTAATAGTGGATCGGCAAAAATCCAATAAGAGAAATAGTGGAAAGCGTTGAGGGTAAATTGAGAAAGCCGCAAAATGGTTGAAATACATGATTGTATATGACATAAAACATGTTGCAAACAAATAAAAGCTACATAAACAGAAAACAAAAGTGTCCAACATAAAACTCAAAATCTCAATAGTTCAAACAATCAGTAATGCATGATGCATAGTTAGCTACGTTGCTGCAGAAAGCCAGACACATATATTCAAAGTGACTTACGGGATATTAAGTGAAGTATGAAGTGAAGAGAGAAGATGGAGAGGCAGAAGCGGTTTAGTGATGAGAGGTCACCTATGTTGTGGGATTCAGAGATTATACAAGCCCCATCTCATCACCAACTCATCCTTATTTTATTTATAATGTTTTCTAAAATATGTCATGTGAAGTTCACATCACATTTTTAATGTTTTTATCAGGGAAAAAAGCATAATAACAACAACTTCCAATTTGTGAGCCATAACCGCTAGCACCGATATGCAAAAAAGCCACCACTATAGCAGTGGTAGTGGAATTGCAATTGCGTATCGGCTTTTGTCGCAGTTGCTTCAAATTCCGATACGCAATCAAGGTAGAGCGGCGCTATACCGGTTATTTAACAATACAGTGTGCCATATCTTAAAATTGAATGCAGTCATATCCCATTAAGCTTAGAAAGTTCCAAGAAAGGAATATAAACTATATAATAGTCTGTCAATTAATTAGAAACCCCGTTCTGCAAATCGTGAATCAAATCTTGTTATGAATCATGAGATACATTACCGATAAGAACATGATATTTCAAAGTAAAAACAAGTAACACAGCAAAATTTTAAGCTAGTATATCATGTACTAACCTAAAAATAATCCACGATCCAAGTCGTAAATTAAATAAACAACAAAAGAAAAACAAAGCCATACAAAATCAACAAAAATTGTCTAGCTACACTAAGGTTAGATGGTGATTCATTCTAATCATTAGAATGAATCAGAATTCATCATAGTGAATCACAACTCAAGATGAGATTCATTTCAGAAGTACATAGACACCGGGATTCTTGTCGATTATATCTATTTTTGTATAGAATCAAGATGTACTCGCACAAGTTTTAAATAACGGTCGCAGTAGTGTTGCGGTCGTGTGAAGGTTTTCCCGATTTCGGTCGGTACAAGTGTTGTGAAACTAATTGCGGTCACGGTGTGAATTAACCACAATTTGTTATTTATCACAAAAACAGTGAATAAAGGTATCAGGATTGACACCTGATACCGTTTTTTCACGTCCATTTTGCGGTAACAGACGGTTTTTTGAAAACCTCGTGTGTATAATCAGATACTGATAATCATGTTAACAACTATAACAAACATAATAAAAACAGCATTGGGCAGAATCAGTTGCATGATCAAAAACTTCCAACATGTTATATGAAAACCCATGTTTTCAAATTAGTGAATTCGACCATGTAATAACAGACTTAACTAATAGTAAATACACTGAAGAATTGCTATCAGTTACATGAAGGTCGATACTCACCGTATCACTATGTGCTCTTGCATTAAACCATCAAATTCAGCATGCAAATCAGGTAAACTTTTAACCTCACCAACAACCATCTTCAATTCCTGAGTGGCCAATTGAATTTGTGCCCTCAATTCCTGCCTAGATGCAGCCAAATTCTGCGCCTCCATATGAGCCTGTTGAAGCTCCTTCTTGACAACATCACCGGCTCTTATATCAACCTCCATTTTCGCCATCTTATCAAGCAAAACCCTAATCTGAATATCACTCTCAGTTTGAGTACTTCTAATGTGTGATTTTATCTTTTGCACGTCTTGTGCAGCATCAACAAGTGCATCTCTTAAGGCTCTATGTGTGATTGATAATCTGTGATTGTCACCGGAAATTCGCTCGATTTCGGCTTCTTGTTGAGCGAGTTTGTTTTCCAATAGTCGAGGAGGAATTGAACCATGACTATGCCTCATTATGCAAAAATCAAAACCCTAATTTAAACCTATGTTTACAATTGAACCGATTTGGAATGCGATAGAGGAATGGCGATGCGGAGTGGAGCTCTGATCTTCTCCGACGGAATTCTTTGGTGCGTTCCCGAGGAGTTGAGTTCTGTCCGACTCTGATACAACGAGGGGCTACGACGTTTTTTTTAGTTGCTGAGTTTTATTAATTTAGGGAAATAACTTATATGTTTGGTTTAAATTTTAAGAAGGGAAAGGAAGGTAGATGGAGGCGACTAAAATTTCTTGTGAACCACTTTTTGTTTTCTTTCAATTTGGAGGGAAGGGAAGGTGTTTGATTTTAATTTTAATTATATTTACATATTTATTCATATTATTTATTTAAATATAAATTTAACTTATAACCATATTAAAAATTTTATTTTGAATAAATTTAATCTTTTTTACATATATTTTGTATTTTTATATTTTTATCTTATTATTATTATATTTGTAAATTTTTTATTTTATTTTTTATATTTTAATGTTAATTTTAGTTATCGTAATATTTTTGTTTATAATAATAGGGGGACCAAAACTGTAATTTAGCTAATTATATATTATAATCGTTGCATTTTTATAAAATATTTCATGATAACCTCTGATTGAATATTTATATTTCGTCAATAAATTTGTATTTGAATTATAAACGGTAAATATCACAAGTCTTATGGTAAAATTAGAAAGATAAAAAAGTAAATTAATTTTGAACAAAACATATTTATAAATAAAATGCTTGTGAACCAAATATATTTCGTCAATAAATACCCCCCTCCGTTTGTGAACCAAACATATTTGTAAATAAAATGCTTCCCCTCCCCTCCCCTATCATATTTTGAACCAAACATATATGTAATTAAAATCTCTCCCCTCCCCTTGATAAAAATTCCTCCTTTCCCCTTGTGAACCAAACATATTTGTAAATAAAATGTTTCCCCTCCCCTCCCCTTTCATATTTTGAACTAAACATATATATAATTAAAATCTCTCCCCTCCATTCCCCTTCCTTTGATAAAAATTCATCCCCTCCTCTCCCCTCGATTGAACCAAACAGACCCTTAGGGTAGTGCCCGGTTGTTTTAATGGAGGAGAGGGGAGGATAGAAATTTTAATAAAAGGGAGAAGAGGGGAGAGGGAGGTGAAAGGATATATTTTAATTTAATATATGTTTGGTTTATAAGCGGAGGGATGGAAGAGGAGAGAGAAGTTTTAATCAAATATATGTAATACAATACAACAACCTATAAAACAATTAAGTTATTACAAACAAAATATTAAATAAAAATGAATAGAATAAAAATAATGAAAAAAAGTTGAATCATAATGATAAAAATAATGAAGCTGACGTTAAAAAAAGGAAGAAGTTATAACAAGGTGACAAAAATTAAGGTATAATAGTAATAAAGACTATTTAAAATTTTATTAAATAAAAGTTAGGATAATTTTGTCAATATAATAAAAATAGATTTTATAACTCGTTTCCCTCCCCTTCCTTATGAAAACCTTCAATTTGGGAGAAGGAAAAAGTATTTTAGAAGGGATCCTGATTACCTTCAATCTCCTTTTTTCCCTTCATAAAAAATTTAACCAAATACACATATTTTAAAATATTCATTTCCCTCCTCTCCAAAACCCCCCAACTAAATGAACCCTTAGGGTGTGTTTGGTTCGGGGTAGATGGAGGGGAGGGGAAGGGAAAATTTTAATTAAATATGTTTGGTTCAAATCTTAGGAGGGAAGCGGAGCAAAATCCCTCTAAAACACATTTTTTGGTTCCCTCCGAATTGGGGGAATTTGGAGGGGAGGAGAGAGAATATGAATTTTGATATTTAAAAATTATTATATTTACTAAAATATCCTCAGTTTAATTTTAGTATTTCAAAACTATTCGTTTTCTTTCGTGTTATTGTTTTTTCTCGATTGTTTCCATCAACTTATTATAATTGTTCTCCACCTTCAAATTATTTTATAATTTCTATACTTAATATAAATCATAATCATTGTCTTTTTTTAATAAAAAAAATTATGTTTAGTTATATTCGTTTTTTTCTTTTAATTTTGTTATGTATTCTATCATATTTTCTTTTATATCAAATTGTAAACCATTCATTTTATTTATTTTTGTTTACTCATGTAATTAAATAATTTGAACCATTAATATTTAATAATAAGTTAGTTTATATATTTGTTTTGTTATATGATTCATCACAGTTTAAACGATGTTATTGACATATAATTTAATTTATGTTGGAAAGTTATAAGTCAAATCAATTGTACTCAATTTTTTAACTTTATGTGACAAATAAATACTTTTTTAATCACTCAATATTAGAAATTTTATTACCAACAAAAATACGCATGAATTTTTCACATTTTAATATCATATGACTTATATAAGATCATAAGGATAAAAATGTAAATTATTAATAAAACCCTTTTCCTCCCCTTCTGAACCAAACACATTTTTAATTAAAATCCCTCTCTTCCCCTCTCTTTTGAACCAAACACTTATCTGATTAAAAAAAATCATTCACCCCCTCCCCTCCCCTTCACTAAAATCCCTCCCCTCCCCTCCCCCTCATTTGAACCAAACAGACCCTTAGTGATGGTGATCGACCTCTTTGATTAAAAAAAAATTGGCCTAGACTTAGTTTCTCTTTAAATTTCTAGGTTGATTTCTAAGAATTTATTGGTTTACCCTAAATTCAGTTTGGCTTTTAAGTTAAAGTTAATCGATAATGAAATGTATTTTAGGATAAATGTGTATTTCGATCTTAGTTTGGATTTTTTGTTAAAGTTAGTAATTATCGATTATGAAATGTATTTTACGACAAATGTGTATGGGTTTAAAGGTAGTGTATTGTTAGTGTAAGACAATTTTACACATGCAACCAATCAAAATGCCTATAATTGTCATGTAATATCATTATTTTTAAAATAAAAATATGTTTTTTTCTTCTGATACATGGTTGTGATTGGTTGGTAGTGTAAGATATTTTACACTGTCAATGCATTTCCTTTTTTCTCAATGTGTATTTTGATCTTGCGTTTTGTTTCTTTTCTTTCTGTGAAGGTCTTAAGATCTTGAGGGTCTTGAACATTTTATGCAAAATAAATGTCCAAAAAAGGACATATATTTAAATACTATTGGTTCGTAATCGAATAATCCTTCTTTAGTTATTGGCTTTAATCAGGTTCTAGAACCGAGATTATAGTTGAAAAGTGATGTTCTTTGTCTGACGTCACATTAGTCATTGTCAAAATTATTTTCTCTTGATTAAACGGTCTAACATTTTCTCAAAAAAAATTTATCCTTTAAGAAATTTCATATTTGAGTTGGGTCATGGCTGCTTTCGAGTCTTGTGTCCAAGCCAGTACAATAGTCCTTAAAGTATGGTTCATTTAAAGAAATTTAAGGTTTGCCTTTGTGATTATGGAGGAATGATCAGTAGACATGGAGCTAGTAGACCTTGATTTATATGGTCTTGACTTTACGAAACCTTCCCACTTGTTGCAAGGTGTCTTTTCTCTTATGCATAAGCGTGATAATTTCAATGCAGGAAAGCATAGTCGTAATCATTTCGATCCATGTGGCCAATTGTGATTGGTTTTGTGGATTTATGTGTTGTACATGTACAACTATCTGTGATTATCAGTTGATCCTATTGGTTAGGATGATGACAACACCTTATGCCATACGACATTTAGTGAAGTCTTTAACTATCATCTCGGTTTAATGGTCAGGATGTTCTTTATGATTACAAATAGTCTCCTCATTGATAACAACACCTTATGTCAATCGACATTCAGTGAAGTCTTTAACTATCAAGTTGGTTCAATGATCAAGATGTTCTTTGTGATGAAAAATGTCAAGCCACCTTAATGATGACAAGAACTTAAGTCAAACAGAATTCAGTGAAGTCCTTGGTTACAACTATCAAAGAGGGAGTTGGTATCAATTGTCCAACAATCTCTAATGAAGACGTATATTCCAAAAAGTCATCTCAAACCTCATTAGTCAGAATATTTCAATTCCATTTGAAGTGTTAAATCATTGTTGAATCAAGTAAGGAAACTTGATGATTTGAAGTTGTGAAAGTGAGAAAGTATGAAAGCTCGTCTGGTCTTGCACTTAGTGTGTGTCTGAGTGATCAGTTTAATATAAAATGCATTATTAGAGTAATTCTCGAGATACTAAGGCAATCACACACACATATACACAAGATCTTTTTCAAACTCTCTTTGATGTTACTTGAACTTCTTAAAACCTATCAAGGCATGTATGAAATTGATTAAAAAATGTTTCTAATCGATTAGAAAATTTAACTTATTGTCTAAATCGATTAAGTATTTGGTTCAATCGATTAAAGTGTAGGGTTGGTTCACTCTTAAAGTGAGTCTCGCCATTTATTTTAAAATAATAATAAAAAATAAGAAGGAAAGAATAAAAGAAGAAAAAAGAGTTTTTTTATTTCTATTATTTATTTAGACCAAACCCATTTGGTATATACTTAAAATATATTTTTTAATCCTTAAAGCAACACAACAAATAAATAACTTAAACAACGGTTTTAGATAACAACATAAATAAAGAAGAGAAAAAGGCACAGGTGATAGATTGGTGTAACAAACCTTATCAATTTGAGCTACAAATTCAGTTTGTTGTTCCTATCACTTAGTTAATTTTATTTGGATTCATATTAAGTAGTTTTACCTTTTCTTTAAAGTTATTTTGGTATTCCCACATTTTGTTGAGGAGTTGTTTGGAGTGCGTTTTTTATGGGTGAAGATTGTCATTTCCTAGTAACTTGGAAGACTTTTGTATACCTATTATTTATATAGTGGAAAGTTTACTGGATTAGGTTCCATGATTTTTATTATCTCACTTTGAGGGAAGTTTTTCACATTAAAAATTTGGTGTTCTTGCTATTATATTTTTGTGTTATTATTATTGTGCTTTGAAGTTAGTT